TCGTCATCAGGGAAAGTGGTTTCCGCAGTGGGGTGTCTTCAAACACACTTGTCAGCCCATATTGGCACAGGTCCAGATCAGCGAAGCACACAGTGCGTCTCCCAACCAATTGTGCCACCGGGCTTTCTCTCCACATTGCACTGCTTCTCGGATTCTCAATCACAGCCACACCTCCCAAAGTGTCTTGTAGTTCAAAGACCCGGCGGACGAACATCAGCAAGCTTCTCTCTCTATCTCTTTTTCGCCTGAGCTCTTGGGTGCTATAGTTCAAGTGGGAGAACTGACACCATGAAGTGCATGGAGGAGCCATCCACACCAAACGTGGTTTGTGCGTCCACAGATCCTCAATGACCTCTTCTTGGACACCAGCCTTCTTGAGGTCATAGTCATAGCGGAGATCTCGTGGTTGAAGGACCGCACGTTGTTTCTTTGCAAAGGCTCCAGAAAGATGCGCACTCCCAGCGAACAACTCTAAGCAGTCGGCCCGCTCCTCCACTCCGTGCGGACGTCGCGGTTGGAGCACTGCCCACGCATCCCATAGGGGATCGCCCATGACTTCTTGAGCCCAGGACCCCATGGCCAGCGACACCGTGAACAACACGTTGAAGGCTGCATGAGCCGAGTCCATGATCTTCTGCCGCGTGCTGCGGTTCATATGTCTCCTTCTGCGCATGCCTGCCTGGGCACGAGCTTTGGCTTCAACTCCTCTGGCCACCGGAGAACGAGAGCGGTTGTCCTCTGAACCACTCGTCGTCTCATTGTCGGTGTCTTCCATCAAGCCGTTGACATTCTCCTGGATGTTGATGGCACCAATGTTGAATTCATTCTGCCGGCGCCCGCCATCTGAAGTAGCACTGTCCAAGCCATGGTCAGTCTCCCTCATCGTGATGGCACCCGGGTCATAGTTCTCTGCCACATCCTCATCTCCGGCGTCGTCATCCTCGCCCGTCTCACCGTACACCATGTTGTTGGCACCGGAGTCATACTTGATCTCTCCACCACGCCGGCACAAGGTCGGCCCTCTCACTTGCCTTCCGTCTTCTTGATCACGTGGCCCTTGGTCTGCTTCTTGAGGGACGCCAACTGATTCTCCAGCGCTCGGATCCTCTCGGCTTGGTCCTCCAGGAGCTCCTGCTCGTCCGCGATGTCCGTGTCCAAGCCCATGTCGTCCGCCTTGCGCTGCAGGGGATATCCCGACCGATTCGAGACCTTGCTCCACGAGGTGTCCGAGGAACTTGAAGGGCCCTTGTCGCTCCGGATCGGAGGTGGTGGGACCAATGCCAAGGCCTCCGGGTCGCGACCCATGTCTTTCTTCTTCGTGTCCGTGCCCGATGCCGTTGACTTGCGCTCCAACTCCTGGGCTCCCCACGTGGCAAACCTGACCAAGTCTTCGTGGGCATTGGGATTGCCCTTGACCTCTTTCACTGCCCAGTTGATGTAGCCCTCGGGGACTTCCTGGTACATCCAGCCCTTGTAGCGGCCGAACGGCATCACTGTGCTCCCCGGCGTGGAACTTGCATCCCGAAGGAGTCTCATCATCAAGCCGCGAGTCGGCTTCGCCGGCAGCACCACTCCATCTTCCTCCGCAGCGGCCACCAGCTGCTGCAGTGTCATCTTGGTCAGCCCCTTGAGCCGGTCCTGCTCCGGTGATGTAGGCTTCTTGAGTTGGCGTTGTTCCACAAGGATGGACCTGAGCTCCGGCACCGTCCACGATGTGTGGACTGTCACTCCTCGCTCCTGAAGTTCGGCAAGGAGCTGCCCCTTCTTCATGTTCCATGGCGATGGGACCAAGCTGGGCATTCAGGCCGTCGGGAGGGGCACCGGACGTGGCTTCTGAGTCCACACAGATCTTGAACTTGTGAAAGCGGCTGCGTCCGATCCGTGGATGTTCCAAAATGACTGAATTCACCTTGTAGGAGTCATCGTAGTGCTTGCTGACCTGGGTGCCTTCTGACAAACAACAAATGGCCTCTGTGATGCGGTCTCCGTTCAATCGTTTCAAAAGAATCTCTTTGAGGCCCAGTAAACGGGTTTGCCATGTTGAAGGATCAAAACGACCGCGACGTGGGACGACGTGAACTCGAATGAACTCTTCTTCCGTCTCAATCCAAAAATCTCTGGACAGCTTTGCGCGTTTCCACCAGCAAAAATAACCTGCACTCCCCAATGTCTCTTTGAATGTGAGCATGTTGTGAACTTCATGCGAAAGGACTTTTGGATAAAACAACGGTTTCAATGCCATGCTCTCGGACGACTGCGCACTCATGTATGCTCCAGAAGGCGGTAGGTGAATGTCAGAAACGAACCTGTCCGAGGAGGGAGGCTTCTTCCCCTCGTACTCGTTCACCACCAGGGCTGGGTGTCCGGTCTCGCTAGTGCACAAAGGAATGTCTTCCAAGGAAAGTGCATTCAGCTTGACCCTCTGACCCGCCAAATCATAATGCATTCCAAGCGCTGCTAAAATCGGACGGCTGAGCAAAAGGGGCGCCGAACATGGCACTATCGCCACCTTCACGCCAAACCACCGTCCTCGAATGGAGAACCAAGCATCCACACCAAAATGTGAGGTGTGGATTCGTGAAGCGCCAAACTTGAAAAACTCCTCATGGTCATAGGTCTTCACTTCATGGCCCAAGGTGTCACACATGTCACAAAATCTTTCAAACCAGGGGTATCCTGCTACGGTCTTCGTGCAAGCCGTGTCCACGATCGCCAACAGGCCACCCGTGATGAAGTCGTGGTCCGCCGTCGCCTCATACGCAGTCACGAAGCATGAATGGACATCCGTGCACGTTTGAGCCGAGTGCACAGTCATCTGCACGTTCTGACTGCTCTCACCGGCATCTGGTCGTCTTCCACGTAGGGGGCATTCTGGATCCTTATGCCAGTGACCCTTTCTCTTGCAAGCCGAACAGAAAGACCTCTGCTTGGCCAAACGAAGGCGCTCCTCCGAGCGTTTCTTGATTTCTGCCACGTCGGCTCCTCTTCCTTTCAGAGCCTCTCTGTATTTTGACTTGGCGTTCTGGTAGGTCATGAATGCTTCATGCGCTTCCTCGGCAACCTCTTCGGGGACAAGTTCGTCTTCCTCACCTGCCAAGGAATCACCATCATCGCATGCTCATTCAACTTCAACTTGTCCAAGTAGAGCCACCCTTTGATGAGGGGTGGTATCTCACATTGAACCTCTTTCAACCTCAGTACCAAGCGCTCGAACTCGACGTTGAAGTCTCTCACCGATTGGTCTTGCTTTCGTCGACAGCGCTTGAAGAGGTGGACACCTTCGTGATCTCGATGTCCATGAACCTGGCCCTAACCCATTCCAAGAAGTACGACATGCCTTGCGGGGCTGCCAGCATGTCTACGTCCAGCTCTTCAGCATAGACCCAAGCCTTGCCGGTCAGCTCATTGTACAATGCAAGCGCCCTTTGGTGTGGTGGCATACGAGTGCAACGAAGCCAGACCTGAACCTTTCGGATGTATGATCCGGCTGTTTTGCCCACCTCACCATCGGCCGCGCACTCCCCATCAAACGTAGGGACCAAAAGCTTCTCAGTGGGTTTTCCTTTGTCTTCCGTCCAATCCCGGGATCCCCCGGGAGGTCTGCCGTATCACCGGCATGAAGTCCTCTCCATCGACCGTCCGGACCAGGGATGGTGGCATGGACCTGTGTGGTTGTGAAACCTCTCATCTGTGTGTCTGTCAACCAACCGTCGGTCGAAGGACCACTAGCCCCGGCCTCCCACGGGTCCCCACGTGCCCACGGATCGTGCTGGATCGTCCAACCAGTTCGATCTCTCCCAAGGTCACCTAAGGGGCCCCCATAGTCACTAGCCGAGGATCGCCACTCCACCGAAGGTCTCCATGTCGTCATCGCACTGCCCTGAATCTTCTAGAACTGCTCCGCGTCACCAATATGAAAACCAGGTTGCAACCATGGCATGAAACAAAGCGCACCGCACACCTTTTGGACAGCTTGAGATGACCCTTGTGCCTCAAATGGTTTCGGCACTCTGTACTCAGCAACGGACGAGGGTCAAGTGAGCAAACCATGGATTCCTTCAACACGGACTAAAACCCCGCAGTTCTTCGTGGCAGGATTATGCAAATCCACATTTGCCTAGAACATCCAAAGCCCAAGGTTCCAGCTGCCAAGTTGTTGCCAACGGCCAATGCTTTCACCTTGAATTCAAAAGAGATGTGAGTATCTCGACATGTAGGCTGAAACAGCTCCATTGAAAACGCGTCGCAGCATCTTTTTGAGCTGTTTCGACTGGTAACGACCTCTTGGTCGCATGCTACGAAGGTCTCCTCTGCACCTCGCAGAGGGTGGAGATAGCCAAACCTGGGCACGATGGAGGAGCCGTATATTCTTGGAAAATGAAGATGCAAAAGGACCGTTTTCTCTTGGACAAGATGAACAGAAGGGGCCACATTTGACACAAGCAGCACCAAGTTGAGCTACACCTTGCAAAGTTGGGTCTAGTCCAGCCGCAAAGACCTTCCACTTTGTCCCAGCCGTGGCTGTTGAGGAAAGAATAACTTAGCCCGATTCGGATCCACTCATTTTCCCGGTTTCAGCTACGTGGCGCGTGCTTGCTGCAGTCACCTGGTTGCCAGGAAACTGCCTCAAGAGCCCATGCTTTTTCTGCTTTGCAGTCTGCTTTGCAGTCTGCTTTGCAGTCTGCTTTGCAGTCTGCTTTGCAGGCGAACACCATAAACTGTCAAAGGTGCAGTGTCAGTCCTGCAGGTCAGGATACGTGGCAGCAAAATAAATGCTTTGTCAGCAACAAAAGCTCGAGAAAAGACAGTGTTAGCTTCAAGGCCGCGCCATATACCCCCCCGCTGAGACTGCACTTAAAAAGCGGCTTCGGCTTCGCCGATGCACATGTCTTTTTGTGGCTTTGTGGCTTCAAGACACCTACAAATGCTGAATACATACATATCTGCTGTATAAACAAATATGTTAAATGTTGTATTTCTCTTGCAGGTGAATGTGCAAAAGCATGAGGGCTATGTTTCAATTCCTTTCTTTTCAGAGCTTCATGCTGAAACCCCGGACCCTGACGACCATTTGTGGGCCACTCCACCACGCGCGCCGCGGCAGGCGAGATCTGCCAAGACACCCGGATCTAATCTCTCTAAGACCCGTTGTGCAGCACAGCGCACTCGGAGGTGCCAGTCCAACTTGCATCGCAGGACCTGCAGAGATCCGCTGTCTGTTGGGCATGTTTCTCGATGATGATTCTGCTAGCTCCAAGAAAAAGGGCAGAACTGCCCAAGGATTCAGCTACACAAGACTTCAAAAATAGCAATGTAAGTTGTGAGTCAATCAAGAATCATGGGCAAAAGCTGGCACGTCAGCATGTCCACACCTGATGCGACCAGCGGCACAGCTGTTGTGGTCGCAGCTTCCGCAACGTCTGCAACGCAGCTTCGCGCACCGGCCACAGTTTGTCCCGAAGTGAGGCAACCACCTTCGGGGCCTCCCATGTAAGGACAGAACTTGTTTCTAGCAGTCTCCGGCGCGTTGCTTGCGAAAACAAGCCAAAAGGTTCAACCATGTCACATAGGCCAACCCTGGAGTGCACAAACTTATTTTAGTCTGAACAAAGGTGGAGAGTGCATACAATCGTGATACAGGTGCATTTTGGTGTCAAATTTAGAACAGCAAACTCAGATTGCTTTTCATCGACATACTGTTCCAGTCAAATGTCCAGGAAGCACTCACATGTTGATTCTGTTCTGCAATCTTAGCGTGACCATGCAGCCTTCATGAGCCTGTCCAAAAGAATCCGTGTCCCAAAGCACTCGCATATTTGTCACTGGTTGTGCCTGGCGCTCCAAATCACTGGCATCCAAATGAAAAAGAGCAATTAGAGCGGCCATTCGAATCTCTGGGATTCGGTCCAGCAACATCTCCGAGACACGATCCGCATGACGCGACCAGTAGATTGGCACCAAGCGTCGGAGAGCCAGTAACACACTCTGCCGCACACCCGAGTCATGATTGGCCAAGAGCCGTATCAGGACATCACCCTGCAAAGGCTTTGGCGTAAATGCCAAAGCATCTCGAACCACCCAATGTAGTTCAGGCTCAGAGCTCAGGTAGTTCTCCAAGGCGGGACTCACAAATTCATCCTGTCCCTCTGCCTGTGACTTGGGGCTGGAAGTCTTTGGAACTTTCCAAGCCGGCAACTTCCGCCCAACTCGGTCTGCCCTCGGCCACACAAAGTCCTGTGGGCTTTGAGAGGAGGAGGCCTCTGCAGCGGGCTGATTTCTTTGGTAGTCAGCAAATCCCATCTCATCCTCATTATAGGGTTCAACTCCAAAGCCCGGCACACAGAGGCACTTCCAGGTTTTGCCTCACAGACTGCACTGAATCACAACCTGTGTCTTGCGAATTTAAAAAAAAAGGAATACAAAAGCTCCTGTAGATTTCATCTCAAGTCACCACACCGAAGCGCTTTTGCCTGTTCATCTTCGCGGACCACCGGCTCTGCAGGCACATCCTCCCTCGCATTTCCCTGCAACGGTACGGCAGGGGTTCCTCCTGGCTGCTCCAGCGAGGCCACAAGCTCACATGCAAGCATCCGCACCTGCAGAACATCAGGGGATTTTTGCCCCCCGCCCCAACAAAAAAAGTTGGTCCAGTCCAAATACATTTTTCTGTAGATCGTGCGCAACTCCCCTCACAAAAAAACGCACTTCCATTGCTCAGAATGTTTTTGCTGAACCCAGACTTGCTTCCACTGGCAGAAATGCGGTATAGAAATTCTAGCGCTCTGGCGAAGACAATGCCACTCACAAGCACAAAACTTTGGACCAGTGCCTAGATGACACCCTGAACAGCCTGAACACAAGCACGATGCGAGTTCTGAGAAGTACAAACGAGCATAGCTCATTCTCCAAAAGATCACAGGGGCAGTAGGGAATTGTTACCTCACAGTGGGACTTTCACTGTGTGCCTTGACGGACAATCTTCAGTTGCAACTCAGCCTAGCTGACACATCAATGGTGTGGGAACGTGGTGTTCAGTCTTTGTCTCGTTGACACTTCTCTCGTTGCAAGGGAACAAGAAGCTACTAGTAGCAAAGGGCATCGCTACTAGGAACAAGAAGGCTACTAGAGGCTCCTGGCCTTACTACTAGGAACGAGAAGCTAGTAGAAACCATATATAGAATTTAATCGCTCTGACCTTGCTGACACAGCGCTGGTGGGGGAACCCACCAGGGTGTTCGGCCCTCCGGTGTGGGTCGTGGGAACGCTGCCGAGCGGGGTGTTCAGTTTTTATCGCCTATTGTTTGTTCTTTTTTTCTCGGCCTTTCTGCCTACTTTGTTCTGCATTGGTGCACTTCTGAGCCTTTCCAGTCGATTGCCCAGATGGGGGCAATGCAAAGATTCACACAATGTGAATTTTTCAAGGAACTCTGCAAAACAAGAGCCAACTTCACGGTGGAGCCTCTTTCAACTCCCCTCAACACCAAGTAATACAATCTCGCTTCACTACTTTGCTCTACTCAGCTTGTTGTCTGTTGTTGGTTTTTGCCACTCGTTTGCTGCTTTGTTTGTTGTTTGCTGTCCCTTGTTGGCATTGGTGTCTACTACTGTGCTGTCGTGTGAAAAGGGGTCTTGCGGGGGAAGCTGAGCACAGTGCTCCACAGTGCTCGGACAGTGCTCCGACAGTCAAAAACATGGATTACGCCAGCATAGACCCCAGATAGCAAAAAGATTTCTGTGGAACGAGCCATACATCCGGCCGCAGCACCAGCACGCAAGCTCCACAGTGCACACAGTCGGCACCCTGCAGCGGCACCAGCGCCCAAGCACCCAAGCACACAGCTGCAGCGGCTCCAGCACCCAAGCTGCAAGGAGCACCCACCACCCAAGCGTAGTAGCGGCACCCCAAGCGCATACAGCAGTGGCACCCTTGCAGCGGCACCAGTGCACCAGCACCCAAGCTCCCAAGCGCACAGCAACAGCGCCCTGCAGTGGCACGAGCGCCCAAGCTCAAATACGCACACGCGCAGCTCGAAAACGCACACATGCAGCTCTTTCTATACTTGAAGTAGGAACCCCAAAAGCTCACGCTATCTGGAGAAGACTCCAGCGATATCTTGAGTTCTAGATTCTTTACTGACTCAAATACGATTCGTGTGGCCATGCCCACAGAATCTACAGGGTTTTTGGCACGCGGGCACTGTCCGGAGCACTGTTGGAGGAGTGTCCGGGCACTGTGGAGCAGTGTGTTGCCACGTAGATCCCTGTCGCATAGCTTTGCGCAGGAGTCAAAGCCATGGTCACTCCAGGTCATGATGGCTCTCTACTTCGTTTGCTTTCCCCTGCCACTTGTTTCTTTCTTTGCCTTTTGTGGCTGAGCATGGCGCAACCCTGTGTCACTGGCTTTACAAGTTTTTCTATACTGTGCTGGCTCTCCGCTGTCTGCGTGGCGCAACCCCGTGCCGGTACTGTTGATGGACGAAATCCTGCCCCACCTCCCCACTTTACCCTGAAAGGGTCGCATAGCAACCCCTGCGCCCCCTCATTCAATGTTGGCGCGACGCCTCTGAGGAGGTGGTGCAGGATTTTGTCCATCAGCAGTAGAAACCCAAATCCCATAACCATGGATCCTGCACAGTAGCCTCATCTGATCAAATTTGTTCAGAATAGACGCGCAAGGAGCACAATGAAATTGAGCTAGTTCTATTCGCAGCATCGCAAAAAACTGACACATTCTGTTTTTTCTCCTTCAAAAGGTGCTTTCAAACATCTGCACACCCATGAATAGAGCGCTTGGAGGACCAAAAGAGACTTTCAAAAAAGGTGCCAACCGTTGGCCACCCATCCGACCTCAGAGACGGAATCAGCCACCATAGGCAGCAGCTGTTCTGCAAAGGGTTGCAGCTCGGCAACCGGTCGGCCGCGCAGCGCGGAGAGGGCAGCCAGCCGCACTAACGCAGAGGAACTATGGAGCGCACTGATGTCGGCAGCGATGTCATCACCCAGCGGCGCCATGGACATCTCCCACGGGAAAACAGGTGCTTTTGGGTCTCTGCGCACAAAAGGTCGAGCGAAACTTGGAGACCAGAGACTTCCGGAAGAGGCGAAATCAACTACAACACGGTTGGAAGATCGTTTCGCCCTGAAAAAGCCTACATCTCCATGAGGCAGCCACGCATAGCTGTCGTTGAAGGAGTTCCAGCCCGGTGGAACGACCTGCATGGAGACACTGCCTCGGCAAATCGTTCACAGCCATTCCCGACCATATAGAGAGGTAGCCTTCAGACCGGAGAAGCCATCTTCTGAGGCTGCCACCATCTTGAGCAACGTTCAGAACCTGAGCCGAAAATCGGCGTTCTTGGCACCGTTTGCCGATTACTGAGGAAACCGAGCTACAGTAAATTACAAAACGCTTTTCTTGTTTGTTTCACGGTGATCTTTAAACAGCACAAGACCTTGAGAGGGTCGGGGCCCGTGAGTCAGAAACCCATACACCCTTAGGGCCCAACCGGTGCCGAGGAACCACTTGCAGTGCCCACGCACACAAATCCATGCCTCATCGCCATGTCAAACAGCACAGATCTTTGGGCACTCAGAGGGACAAGAATCCCATCACTTTGCAAAGCGGCCAACTGAACAAAACACCCAAAACCTGTCAATGGGTGTCAATGGTGACCTTTCAAAGAACGACTTCGTTTGTCCGGGAAGTTTCTTTTCAGAACCCTTCAGAGGCCCAAAATTGGACACACACCGCATAACTGTGGCTCCCCTGCTCTAGCATAGTGCTATGCACTGCCAGAGCCGCTCGGTCCAGCTCATTCCGCACAGACCTTGGCCGTTTTCGGCTGCATTCCATGGGTGACTTGTTTCAGAAGCTCTGCAAGAAATGCCCCTAACCGACCTCACCCTGTTGCCCACAAATGATCGGGAGTCCTTTCAGTGAAGTAATTTTTGGAGTTGAAGCAAAGTACAAACTTGACCTAAAGGGATTCCATCCTCAGAGGCTCAGAGTTGGGTAGCTCAGATTTCAATCTTGAGCCAAGTGACACTGAGCCAAGCAAGGCCGGCAACATGCCGAGGAGAAAAAACAGTAGAGACCGAGAGGGAACAGCAATCAGTGCAACTGCCCAGTGTTGCCAATCATGGTTAAGGCGAAGTGTTTTTGAATGTCCAAGCTCTGGAATGAATGGAACCACTTAGCTTCGCAAAAGGAGCAGAAACGGCCGTTGCTTGTCGGCCCTCAAGTCGCAAGTGTGGTGGAATGACCTCCTCCCTTCCCTGCCACCAAAGGCCTCCACCACTTTGTGACAGTCAGCACCTTTCGTCGCACTCCACAACTAACACGAAGCGACATCAAAGCCATGTCAGCAGCCAGTCCCTTTCGCTCGGCAAATCGTGCGAAAATCGCTGGACGCTGCCATGGACAAGCCAGAGTTCATGTCAAACGGCAACAATGTCTGCATCCATTGCTAGCAATTGCTTTGCTCACAGGTTGTTCGAATCTTTCAGGTAGACTTAGGGTTCCGAAATCTTGTTGTACATGAGAAACAACTTGGCTTGTCAAGAATGTCAAAGACCAACCAACAAAGCTGAAGCAAACCATGCAGAATCATCCTACTTGGTGATACAAATACAAACACAGTAGAGCACTATGAGCGGGCTTAACAACGTCTGGCAAGTGCTTCTAATTTGATTCTGACGGTATGTTGCAACTCCATCAAAATTCAGTTGTACACGAAGCAAGCTCCCGGCCACGATATAGTTTGCTAGCCAAGGTCTACTTGCAAAAAATTACACTTGCACATGCAAGAATGCTGCGACGCTTTCACTCACCTTAAGCGGCCGTACAAATCACTTGTGCACTGTGCACATACAGACCCAAGTGCCTAAACGATTGAATGTATAAGTTATAAATGATTGCATGTTCGAATACAGTCAATTCAGAAGTGCCTGCTACCTTACATACCCACACTCATCACCTACATGCACAGAGCGGTTGAAACTTCAAGCAGTACTCACACACTTATACAAATGCGTACTGATGTGAATGCGGTGCCACACGCCGGCCTAAAACCCAAGTCCAAGTAAACAAAACACCAAATGACTGCCCTCACCTCCAAGCTCAAAATGCAAGCTTAAACTCAAGATCAAGTGCGTGACTGCCGATGGTGAACAGATGCAATGGCTGGCAGCTTGTTCTAGTGACAACGGGACCAAATGAGAAATTCACAAGTACGACGCAGGTACAGGAAGGTGATCAGCCTTCCCTTCCCATCCATGATCGTAGCTTCGTTGCACACGGTAGGTCATGGATGCCGTGTGCCCCTGCTTAAAAAGGACTCTAAAGTTTACACACACACACACACACGCCCCCCCCAGGGGTGGCGAGAAGCGCTAAGGTCAGGGCAAAGTGTAAGTGTGCGACAAAGGTGTGTGCGGTTGCGATGAAAGGGAAACAAGTGCACAGGGACAACTAATGAAAGCCCGCCTCATTATAAAGACCTGGCCAACCTGAAACTTAGGTTGAAGTAGGTTGTGCGCGTACACACTAAGGCCGGGACCCATGCGCGTGCAAACAAAAGAAAGGATGAGATGACCAGACATGAAGTGAAAGAAAAGAAGAAAACAGATGTGTGTAAAAAGGGAACCAAATGGAGGGGACGAGAACCGATGAAGCCACACCTCATTAGAGAACCTATGCAAACCTGGTTGAAAATGTACGCGCTGTGTGTGCACCTGAGGCGGCGACGGGTCCCAATGGACCCAAAAAAATCTTCGGCTGCGGCCACGTACGCCGTGCCAAAATGGCTGGCAGCTTTGACCGCTTTGGTCACGTATCGGCATGAGCCAGCTTGGAATTCAACAATCCATCAAATCTTGGCAAATGACTATTGGCCTGAGCCTACTTTGTCCGCTGCGGACTACTCTGGTCCCGGGCGCAGGGACGACGACAAACTCCCGTTCAACGGGTCCACAGGGGCCTGTTCTGGCCCCAGTCCCTGTTTGCAGTTCCCTGTCCCAGTTCCCTGTCCCAAGTTCGCTGTCCCCTGTCCTAAGCGAGTTCCCTGTCCGCAGTTCCCTGCCCCCACTTCGTCTCCAACTCCCGGTTTGTAGTCCCCTCTCCCCAGTTCCCTGCCCTCTACACACATGGCGTCCACACCCGTGCAAAAAAAAGCAGGAGGACTGTGGGTGGACGCGTGGGTTTCTTTTTTGCACGGGTCGAGGCGCTGTGTGTGCAGAGGATGCACATGTCACCTTAAGCTAGTAAAGAGAGAGAGAGAGTTACGAACCATGAGGCCAAAAACCACCGACAAGGGAAACCACCAACAAACAACAAAAAACACAAACCCACAAACCAAAACCCCAAAAAGCAGAGGCCAGGTTCGTAACTCGAATCGGCAACGTCAGCCTGTTGAGAAAGGTGAGACATGGGGCGATGAATTCAGCCTTTGCACTCAGTACGTCACCATCCCGTCATTTGGTCATCTAGTCATTTTTTCCATGAGACGGCACAAACAGCATAGTTGTAGCAGTTTACGTGCTTGAGTCCTTCATGCGAGGACCTCTGCCGTCAAGGGCCACGCAACAAAAGGGCTACTCTGATCCAGCGCTGCAGTGTGCCGGGTTGCAAGGGCTGGAGTAGAGCGAGTGTGTGAGCGGTGTTTGAGCGGCCGCTCATGCAAAGGCAAACAAAGACACTCAAGGCCACAATCACAAGAGTAGTAGCAGCAAATGGCCGGACTGGACATCTAGGCACATGAGGCTCAAGGAAGACCACTGTGTCGGCTGACGAGGACTTCAAATCAACGCCGGCAAGAAACAGCGGAGCCAAAACATGCATAGCAGCGATGCATGGTGAGCATGCACGATTCCGACACAATGCCAGGTCCCCCCCCCCGAAGGGGGGAGACGGCAGTAGCGCTCTTTGGATTTGTGGCGATGACTCCAAAAACAGCTTTGTGGGTGGACGCGCGGTCGCCGCTGGCCCGAGGCTGGGCCCGAAACCTTCGGCGAGGGGGGCTTAACCCCTTCGAATGAGATGGGTGGTGTGAGATGGTGGTTTGAGATGTAGTGCAAGATGGGTGGCGAAGTGTGAGATGGGTGGTGGTGTTAGTACAAGATGGGTGGTGTGAGATGAGCTGAGCAGTGAGGTGGGTGGTGTGAGATGGGTTTTTTGCACGGGTCGAGGCGCTTAAGATGCGCAAGATGGGTGGTGTATGAGCAGTGTGAGATGGGTGGTGTGAGATGGGTGGTGCAAGATGGGCAGTGTGAGATGGGTGGTGCAAGATAGGTGGTGTGATTTGAGTGGTGTGAGATGGGTGGTGTAAGATGAGTGGCGTAAGATGAGTGGTGTGAGAAGTGCGGGGTCTCAATGCCTTCCTTGGGCTCAAGTTGTTTGGCGAACGTGCCCGCTGAAGAGGTGCTAGGATGTTTGGAGAACTCTTCTCGCAAGACAGCACATCCGGGCGAAGAGCGATCTTGTGTCTTCCACCTCATCCTGATCACGCTGGCTGGGGATGAAATCCAGCTACCCATCGAACTCCAAGAATTTGATCGCCTCAGTGAGTTTGAAAATCCCTGCCTTGCGCCAGAGCGGGACCAGATGCCCTTACCACGCAGGGATTCCGCAATGCTTTCACTCGTTGGGCCAGAGTGTTACCTTGGGAGATGCCGTGTATATAGGGCATAGAGCTCATGAGAATTGCAAACGTTGACATCTCCAACACGGTAGTTGGCACCCTCCACGCGCATACCTTCTCACACTGCACCAAATTGAGCACTGTGAGTCTGCCGCCCTCCCTGCAGAAAATTCGCGGAGGCATTTATTGCTGCAATCGAAAGTCTCCCACTCATCGGCCAGCACAGCACCTTTGGATGTGAGCTTGAGTTTGTCAGGAGCGCCCAGCAAATCCTTGCTGACCCCATTTGGAACACCTTTCAGGAATGCAACTGCTTCAGCCTCGTCGTACGCCGGTGCTTCGTACAGGCGTTTTTTTTTTGCATGGGTCGAGGCGCTGTGTGTGCAGAGGATGCACAAGTCACCTTAGGCTTGTGACAAGAGAGATACGAACCAAGCGGCAAGCCGAAACCAGAACAACAAACCCCAAACCAACAAACCCAACCCACCCAAAAGAAG